TATGTGTATGTGTATGTGTATGTGTATGTGTATGTGTATGTGTATGTGTATATGTATATGTATATGTATATGTATATGTATATGTATATGTATATGTATACGCATATGATGTATATGTATACGTATATACATACATTATATATGTATATATGTGTGTATATATGTGTGTGTGTGTGTGTGTGTGTGTGTGTGTGTGTGTATTGTATACACACAGCTGAGGCAATTGGGGTTAAGTGACTTACCCAGGGTCACACAGCTAGTAAGTGTCAAGGGCTGTATTTGAACTCAGGTCCTCTTGACTCCAGGGCTGGTACACTATCCATTGGGCCACCTAGCTGCCCCCCAGAGAGTGTATCATATTGATGCTGGACTTAGTAAGCATTGAATTGGTTTAGCACCTTAAAGCTTAGAACTACAAACTCAATTGATCCACCAGCCTCAACCTCCCCAGGTGTGCAAACCGTACTCAGTCAATAAACTTGTATTAAGCAGCTAGAGTGTACAGAACACTGTGCTAGGCACTGGGGTAGGATGCAAAGTTTAAATAAGACAGGACCTAGCTAACCTCAGGAGATTTTTGTTTTAGTAGGGGCTTACCCCAAACATAGTAAATGCGTTAGAGAATTGCAAAATGAAGTGCTAATGTGAGGTATGAGTGGAAAGGTCGTTACTAAACTAAGGGATAGATTGGAAAAAATAGAATGCAGAAACAGAAAGACTTTTTAGGAGGTTATCTCACTAGAGCAGGTAGTTGTGTGTACAGTGGTGCCCAGTGGTAATAGAGAGGGGGTATTATGTGCAGGAAAGGTATCAGGGATGGAATCAGTAGCATTAAACTTTGGCCATGAGAGGTAAAGGACAGGGAAGAGTGAGAGAGAATACCAAGTTTGTGAGCATGGGTAAATTGGGTGAATGGTGGTACCACACACAAACAGTAAAGTTAGACGGAGGAGTAGATTTAGGGGGAAAGCTTCGTATATCTTGAATTTAGAGTGGAAGTGGAGATGTCTTGAAGGCAGCTACAGGCATGGTCTTGGAAATCCATATTAGAGAGTGATATTAATTGAAGAGTAGCTTAAGTTATAGGGATCAAATCAGTAAGACTACTGGGGGAAACTCAGTGATGTAAAGAGAAATCAGTAAAAAATTTAAAACAAGAGGCCAGAAGTCAAGAATTTAGTTGTAGGATAAATGTCAAATCTTATGTTAGATTTAAAAAAAAAGTTTTTGGAATACAAACTAGGGGAAATGTGGCTAGACAGCAGTTCATCTGAAAAAGATTTGAAGGATTTATATGGAAGTTCTGAATGAGTCTATGATAGGGTAGGCAAAAAAGCTAATGTAATTTTAGAGTATATTCAGAGATGCATAGTGTTCAGGACTAGGGAGTTGATAGTCGTGCTATACTTTGCTCTGGTTGGACAATATCAAGAGTTTGGTGTTCTGGGGACTTCATTTTAGGAAGGACATTGATCAGCTGGAGAGTGTCCAGTAGAGGGCATCCAGATGGATGCCTAAAGATGGTGCCACACGAAGATATCCCATTTGAAAGAAACTGGGAATGTTTAACTGGGAGAAAAGAAGACAAAGGAAGAAATGGGATATAATTGCTATTTTCAAGTGTTTGAAGGGCTATTCCCTAGAAAAGGGATTGACATGTTCTGTTTGGCTCCAAAGGGCAGAACTAGGAGAAGTGGGCAGAAATTCCAAGTAAAAAGAATTTTGCTCCATGTAAAGAAAAATTTTGTAACACCTATAACTTTTCAAAAGTAGGAGGTCTGAAAAAAAGTAGAAGGGCTGTCTTAGGTGGTAGTGAGTTCTTACTTAGAACAAGCCTTCAAACAAAAGCTGTATGACCACTTGCTGAATATTTGGTTGAGGGAATTCTTATTTAGGGATAGGGCAGACTAGCTGGTCCTTGGGCTCCTTTTCAAGTCAGAAATCCTGTCATTATCTTTTTCTGTGGGGAAAAAAGTGGGAACAACTAATATGTAACAAGGAGGTAAATTTAGGGTCAACAGTAGCAAAATTTTTCTAAATGTTCAGAATGAGAATGTTGCTTAGAAAGGGACACATACCTGTCACTGAAGGCATGTACTTAGTTGCTGGGGTTGTAATAGAGGGAAATCTTGCTTGAACTATGGATTGGATTAGTTGATCTGAAACCTCTTCTAATTCTGAGATACTATAAAGATGTAGGTATGTTGCTGCTTTTCTCCTCTGCCTTATCTGACATTTTCAATTTCTGGGTGAATAAATACCTTTCATTTTAACATAGATTTATGTTTTTGACAGAGCACTTTCACACATAATATTTCATTTAATGATTTATTTTTCTTATATGTTCAACTCAACAAACACTTGTTTAATGTCTCCTATGAGTGAGGCACTGTGCTGCAGCCTGGGAATATAAGACAAAAACAAAATAACCCCTGATCTCTAGGAGTTTATGAAGGAAAAGAAAGAACAGCTGACATTAATGTAGTATTTTATATTACATTTGATCCTTATAACAACCTCACGAGATAAGAATTATAGGTGGTATAAAGATACCGCCTATAATGGTATTGATGCTGTATAGTATAGTTAATAGCGAGCCAGCCACCAAGCCAGGAAGAACTGGGTTCAAGGTCTTCTAACATGTCCTGGCTGGGTGTGTGATTCTAGGCAAGCGACTTAACCTTTTAGTCCTGTAGGCAACTCTTTAAGACCATCAGATGCAGAAGTGTCAACCTGCATTGGTAGAGGAAATTCCCTCATCTTAACATGTCCAATCCTTATACTTGTCTTGTCCTACTTTGCAGATTAAGAAACTGATGCTCAGAGAAATTAAGTAATTTGCTTATAGTCATATAGCTAGTAAATGTTGGAGCTCAGATTCAAACTCAGATCTCTTGTTATTCCAAGACCAGTATTCTACTTATGTCTCTAGGATCTTTTCCTCTCTCTCCTTTATCTCTGATACCTCTTTAGTTCAAGTCTTTATTACCTTACTCCTAGACAACCACAACAGATGCTTTGCAGACTTCAGACTCAATATCTTCAACTTTAAGTCTATTTTTTGTGCTGCTGTCGGATTAATCTTAATACCTGCTTTCATCATGTACTCCTTTGCTTAAAAATGTCTAATACTTCCCTATTGCCCAGTGCAAGTCCAAACTCTTTTTCCTGAAACTCGAAGTTCTCTATAATCTGGCCTCCAACCCCATTTTCTCCATTGGAACCTTCTATTCTAGCTAATCTTGTCTATTCAGGAAGGCCTAAATATTCTATGATTACTCCTATTCATTTTTGTACTGGATCCTAATATTTTAAGGTTCTATGATTTTGTTATTGTAAATACTCCCCTCACTGACCCAGGTTGCAACCCATCTATGCCTCAGGTTTGGAGAATTTCTGTGACCAACCTAATTAAACGAACCTTCCTGACTTGGCTAGGCTGGTCTTTCCTAATAGCGTTCCTGAAGACATGTACAAAATTCTGTACTTAACGGTTCTGTGGTCTCGTTGTTGTGGGTTTTACCTCCAGTGGTGTAGATCTTAACCCATCAATGCCTTCTTATCCTATGTAACCCTTGTCCTCTTCTTTCCATAAGTGTTCTGCGAGATATCCACCTAATGCGTTAGGAGCCAGCTTCTAGGTCTCTTATTACATTGTCAGTATCTAAGTGGTGTACTGACAATGTTAAGAGGGTAGCTAGGCGGTGGAGTGGATAGAGCATTGGGCTTGGAATCAGGAAGACTCTTCATGAGTTCAAATCTGGTCTCAGACACTTACTAGCTTTGTGACCCTGGTCAAGTCACTTATCCTTGTTTGCCTCAATTCCTCATCTGTAAAATGAACTGGAGAAGGGAATGGCAAACTACTGCAGTATCTTTGCCACAAAAAGTCCCAAATGGGGTCACAAAGAGTCATACATGACTGAAATGTCTGAACAACAACAAGTGGAATACAGGCAGTCTATCTGTTATTCTTGGCTCATAATATATGACTGTCCCATCTCCTTTTCCTATCATATATCTTTTTGAGATACTCTGTGCCATTTTTTGTGTACTAATTTGTCATCAGTTGTATGATGAGTCTTTTCATTGCCCTTTGTGTGACACTTGTTTATTAATGACTTCTTTTATCGAAAGTAACTAATTACTCGTGCTACTTCCTTCTCCTATCTCCTGATCTGGAATGGTCTTTTCCTTCCCTTCCATCTATCTGAGTCCTATTCATCTTTCAGGGCTCGATTCCAGTCTTACCTTGTCCAAGAGTCTTCCCTGATTAATAGTCCAAAATGGTCTCCTCAGAACTTCTGTACAACATTTATTCTCTAATACCACTTATTTTAGTACTTGTTCATTTTCGTTGTCTCCTAATTTTTTATTTTTGTATTCCTTGTCTCCCTGACATGATTGAAAGAGCAATGTAAAACATGATGATAACCATGTTTTGTACTAAAACTACTATGCAGGGTTGTCGTGAGTATCAAATGAGAAAGTATTTATAAAAGCTCTTAGCCCAGTGCCCAGCACGTAGCAGGCACCATAAAAATGCTTATGCCTTTCCCGTATCCTCCCCATCTCATGCTCCCTTCAGTGCCTAGCCCAGCATGATCCATAGTGTTGAGTGCTAAATAAATACTAGTTGGATGAATGAATAGAAAATTAAGAGATAAGACTTCTGTCCATTTGGGAAGCTTCACGAGCTATTTCTTTTCAATATTTTATTTAATTCTTTTTTTTATTGGAAGTAACTATGTTCCTTATATATCATTCTCTCTTTTAGGTCAGATTTTTAAGCATTCACAGCAACCTCTGATTACCAGTGAAAAACATGATGTGACAGACCATCCGAAGAATATAGGAGGCTCCCGATCTCCATTCCTCCTGAAGGTTCATGGCAAGTGTCATTTCATGATCTGTTTATGGGATAAAGTTCTTTGATGAAGACTCAGTATTGATTGTCTTAGGGAGTGGGTTGTGTAACTTTACAGCTGCTAACAAGTTATGTTTCTGAGCATTGAAACAAGACAGGTAGCACAAGCCCTTCATATCACAACTTTTTCTGAGGAAAAAAAGGAACAACTTCTTTTTATGCTGTTTTCTACAGTGATGATCAATTAATTGCTAATGGGGAAAATGACCTCTTGTTTGTTATAGCTAAGTAGGACTCTGATTTTGAGGATGCCACCCTGCTCTAAGACCCCCAGTACAGCTAGACACTTTTACCAGTTTTTTTTTTCAGAGTACATAAACTATTTCCATGGAACGTGGCTTTTTGACAGTTGTGTCATAGATTTGAAAGCATATCTGGGCCCCATATATATTATGTCCCCCCCAGTGCTTAATCCTGGTATATTGGGAGAAAGAGGGGAAAGGTAGAAAATAAATACTCAGGGTATTCCATTAGGCATCATACCATAATGGATAGAGAGCTGGCCTCAAAGCCAGAAAGACCTGGCTTCAAGTCCTGGTTGTGACCATGGACAAGTCACTTAAGCTCTCAGGTCTCTAGTCAACTCTCTGAGATTATAAGTTACAGAGAAAGTGCCAATCTAAATTGGTAGAAGAAATTACTTCAACTGCAAGTTCTCCGTATTAATGAAATCACAAGTCTAGGGCCTAGCCCATAATTTAAAAGACAATGAGAGTCTGTTTTCTGACTCTGCTTCCATATTCATCTGCTTTATCTCATTCCCCAAAATGACTGTTTCATGTCTTTTATTGTTCTCCCTATGTCCCTGACCACTTCTGTGCTGCCTTCTGATGATTTAACCTTCAAGTTCACTGAGAAGACTGGAGACATACATCTCCCATTCTTCTTTTTTCTTTCCTGCTCTTTCAACTCTCCTCGTCTCCTCCTCAGAATTTTTCATCTTCCTCAGCCATTCTCTGCTCTTCTCCTTCCATGTTAGTGGGAAATGGAGATTCATGCCTTGCTGAGGTTAATTCTACCTATGACTGGTTATATTCCTTCCAAATTTCTCCAGGAAACATCCTCTCTCTCTCTCTCTCTCTCCCACACACACACACACACACACACACACACACACACACACACACATACACACACAGAGGTTCATTGGTTCTTTCCTATCTGCCTGTAAACCTGCTCAGATATCCCATGTCTTTAAACAAACAGGTGAAAATTCTCTTTCTTCCCATCCAGTGAACCTCCCATCATTTTCTTTACTGCCAAACTTCTTAGAATACTTGTTTTTTGCACTCACTGTCTTCACTTCTTCACTACCTACTCTATCTTCATTTTAACCCTTGCAATCTGACTTTTGTTCCTTCCATTCTATTGAGAGTGCTCTTCCAGTGGTCACCAGTCATCTCTTAATTCCGGATCCAATGATCTTTTTTTCCTTTTCAGTTTTCGTTGTTGTTAACCTTTCTGTGCCATTTAACCTTGACCATGCCTTTTTCTTGATGCTCTTTCTATCCTTGGCTACCAAAAAGTCACACTCTTACGGTTTTCCTTTGACCTTGCCTACTATACTTTCTCTTTTTCCTTTGTTCATTCCTTCTCTTTTTGAGAATGTGAATTTATTCTTGGAGTATTTATCCCAGTTCCTCTCCCCCACCCCACTCTCTAGCCTCTCTTCCTTGGCAATCTCATTTGCTACCATGGCTTCAGCTAGCTATTTCCAGGTTGGTTGTTTTGATTTGTCTGCTTCTGTCAGTGACACTGCTTAAACACCCATTTTAAAAATGATACTCTTATGATACTCTTTCCTTTTTATCACCTTTCGTGTTTAATCAGGTACCAAATTCTGTTGATCCTATCTTTTCAACCTCTCTGCCATCTGTCCCCTCATCAGCACTTAGCACAATGTCTGACACATAAAGTATGCACTTAATAAGTGATTCTTGGTTGATTCTCTCTCTTTCCACTGGTATCATTTGAGTATCATCCATTATAGCCCTCATTACTAGTTGAAGTACTATGCTTGCCACCTAGTATACTTTAATACCTCTCTGTTCTTTCCTTTCTTCCAAACTTTCATCCAACTGATGCTGTTGAGCTCTTTCAGTTTTATTTCATATTATTCCTGTCCATCTCATCTACATTCTAGCCAAATTGGACTATTCATTCACTGTCTTTCTTCCTTACCTTGAACTTTCTTATTTCATTGCCTTTGTTTATGCTGTTTCTTATACCTGGATTTCTATCTTTGTTTCATTCTTTGCCTGTGAATTTCTGCTTATATTATAAAACTCAATTCAAATACCATTTCCTTTAGGAAGCATTCTCTGGTCTACTCTATCAATATGGTGACCCTTTCTTGTCCTCAGATCTTGAATAACATTTTTATACTTATGCACTTACCATGCATTATTCTGCATTAAAATTATTTGCATACAATGCCACTATTATATCTGTATAATACTACCTCTAGGTCTGTATCCCAAAGAGATCATAAAAAGGGAAAAGGACCTACAAGTATAAAAAATATTTATAGCAGCTCTTTTTGTGGTGGCAAAGCATTGGAAATGAGGGATGTGCATCGATTGAGGGAATGGCTGAACAAGTTGGGGTATATAAACATAATGGAATACTATTGTTCCATAAGAAATGATGAGCTGGCAGATTTCAGAAAAACCTGGAAACACTTATATGAACCGATGCTGAGTGAAGTGAACAGAGCCAGGAGAACATTGTACACAGTAACAGCAACATTATGTGATGACTGGCTTTGATAAACTTACCTCTTCTCAGCAATGCAATAATCTAAGACAATTCCAAAAGACTCATGATGGAAAATGTTATCCACATCCAGAGAAAGAACTATGGAGTCTGAATGCAGATTGAAACATACTATTTTCTCTTTTTTTCTTTCTCATGGTTTTTCCCTTTTGTTCTGATTCTTCTTTCACAACATGACTAAAGTGGAAACATGTTTAACATTATTGTACATGTATATGCTGTCTTGGGGAGGGGAGAGGGGAAGGAGGGGGAATAATTTAGAACTCAAAATCTTATAAAAGTGAATACTGAAAACTAAAAACTAATTAATTAATTAAAAAAAGAAATGATTTGCACATGTGCCACATATCCCTACTGGACTATAAACTCTGTGAAGGCAGCAATGTTAATATAAAATTAGATATGAAGTTATCCAAACTTCATATCTTTTCCATCACTGACTACAGAGTCATACACAATAGATAATAAATGTTTGCCAGATTTAAAAAAAATTGTTTTAATTGATATGTTTTGTTTTTACATTACCTACATTTTCTATTCCTTTCCTTCCCCTCTTAGAATCCATTATAACAAAGTTTTTTAAAAGAAAATAAGAAAAAAGGTAAATATAAAAAATTCAGCAAAACTGATCGATATACTGAAAAAAATCTGATGTAATATACAATGTTTCACACCTGTGCACGCCTATCTTTTTCTTATCATGGCTTTTTTCCTCAAATTTTTAAAACATTTTTATTTCGAGTTTTGAGTTCTAAATTCTATCTTTCCCTCCCTTCTCTCCCCTCTCCCAGAGATAGTAAGTAATCAGATATAGGTTATACATATGCAGCTATGTCAAACATTTCCATATTAGTCATTTTGTTCAATGAGACTTGAATAAAAGGAAAAAAAGAAGGAAAGTGAAAAATAGTATGCTTCAGTCTATCTTCAATAAATCTTTCTCTGGAGGCAGATAGTATGCTTCATCATCATTAATCCTTTGGGATTGTCTTGGATCATTGTATTACTGAGAAGCTAAGTCATTCACAATTCTTCATCCAACAATATTGCTGTTACTGTGTACAACATTCTCCTGGGTCACTTCAATATGCATCAGTTCATGTAAGTCTAGTTTTTTCTGAAATCATCCTGCTTGTCATTTCTTATAGCATAATAATATTCCATCACAATCATATACCACAGCTTGTTTAGCTATTCCCCAATTGATGGGCATCCTTTTGATTTCCAATTCTTAGCCACCACAAAAAAGAGCTGCTATTAATATATTTGTACAAATAGGTATTTTTCCATTTTTGGATATCTTTGGGATCTAGACCTAGCAGTGCACCCCCATTTTTTGAGGGCAGTCTTGTTCTTTATAAATTCGTAACATAATTTACTGAGTTTTTATAGTATTTATGTGCAAATAAAATCACCAACATAAGCTTAAAAATAACTCCATGACTTTTAATTTGCTTTTGCTTTAATTATGGCTCCAGTTTAAAGAGTACTTGGGCTCAGAATCAGTGCTTCCTTTCCTTGTTATTCTTGTAAGGTGTGGGCCAACTCCAAAATAATCATTGGAATAGGTAGTTTGGCTAAGAGAGTTGGTAGTTTCTTTTCATTTAATTTTTTAAAAAAGATATTTGAATTGATGTCAGTTGAGAGTTTTTTCCTTTTCTTTTATGTGCTCTGGGTCTTTGGTTTATAAATTAAAAGCCAGTTTAATGAAAGAATCACCATGATGCAGCAGTGAGCAGGTTGAGCAGTGTATCTTTTCTTTGGCAGGTGCATTCATGTTTGTGGCCTGGATGACAACTGGGAGCATTGGTGTGCTGGTTGCCCGATTCTTCAAACCTGTATGGCCCAAGGCCTTCCTCTTTGGTGAGGCAGTCTGGTTTCAGGTAGGCAGTAAGATCTGTGAAATTATTTTGGTATTAAGGAAAATTTTTTTTCTGAGAGCTCTCTCTTTGAGCTCATGCTGAATGAAGATTAGTTGAGAAAATAATAGATGTTTAGCCTGGAGTAAAGGAGACTAAGTAGGGACACAATAGTGCTCTTCAAGTATTTGAAGCTTTATCACCTAGAAGAGGGATCACACTTATTCTACTTGGGCCCAGAGGTCAGAACTAGCAGCTTGGTGGGGGCAAGGTTGAAGTGACAAAGAGGAAGATTTAGGTTTGATATAAGAAATGGCTTCCTAACAACAATTTGGAAGTTGAATGGGCTGACTTGGGTGGTCTCTCCTTATTAGAGGTCTTCAAACAATCTTGTTCAGCTGTGAACTTCGCAGGCATTCAAGGCATGTATAATTGGGTATAATTGGGTCCCAATGATACTTTTCTAGCTTTATCTCTTATTATTACTCTTCTTCACATAGTTCAATTTCCAACCGAAGTGGACTGCTCTTAGCACCTTGAAACATGCTGTGACCTTTATCATATCCATGCTTTCTTACACAGTGCTCCTTATGCCTATAATGCCTGCTCTATTCAAGATCTGAATCCCTGCCCAACCTTCAGATCTTTGCTAAAATATCACTTCTTACATGTGAAATCATCATGAAAATCTTCCCCCCTTGGGCCTCAGATAGCTCTTTTTTTGCACCTCCTTAATTAACTCATCATATTCTATTGTATGTTATATTATCTGGGATCAAGTCTCTCCACTGACAGATACTGGGTGTTCAACCCCAGGCAAACCACTAGGTACTCTAGAGAACTCTCTAAGATTATAAATTGCAGAGAAAGTGCCAGCCTGAATTGGTAGAGGGAATTTTCTTACTGGGAATTCCCCAATGGAATTACAGGTCTGGTCCATATCCATATCCCTATTATGTTATCTATGTTTGTGTCAGTCAACAAGTATTTATTAAATACTATGTGTAAGGCACTGTGCTTTTATCACCACACTAAATGGAAAGAAAGACTCTAACTTATCCGAAATTTGTGTGTCTATCAGTGCCTAGCACAGTGGTCTGAACATAGTAGGTACCTCATAAATGTTTATTGAATTTCATAGAATTTATAGAATCACAAAATGTCAAAGTCAAAAGGGACTTTAGCAACCACCTGGTTCAACCCACAACTGAAAAAGAATCTTCGTTATTGTGTAAAGGATCAGTGGTCATTCAGCCTTTCCCTGAGAACCTCCAAGTGAGAGTGGGGAGGAGCACTAGCTCTTGAGACAGCCCAATGCAAGTCTCATTACTCTTAGCTTTGACTTCTGGGGTCAAGTAGTACAAGTCTCATCCCTCTTATGTGTGACCATTTCTCAAGTACTTGAAGACAGCTCTCATTCTTCCGCTTCATCTTTTCTTCTCCATGCTAAATATTCCTAGTTGAATCAGTTGATCCTCATATTTCATGGACTCAAGGTCCTCCACCATTCTTGTTGCCATTCTCTGGACACTCTCAAGGTTATCAACATCCTTCCTAAAATGTGGTGCCCAGAACAGAGCACAATACTGCAGATGTGCTTTACCAGGGTAGAGTACAGAGGGACTGTCACCTCCCCATATCTGGAAAATATGTATCTCGTAAGGCAGCCAAAGATCATATTAGCTACTGCCAGATTCCTTTCCAACAAATTTTGGTCCTTTGTGAATATTTTTGCCCATTATTCAGCTTTCAGTGGATCTTTTTATAGCCCTATAAGCCTATCTTTCCCATCTAACCTAAATTCTCCTCACTCATAGAACCTTCCTTTTCCAGCCAGGCCATTCTCCTTACTGTTACATATCGTGTTCCTTCCTCATTCATGCTATTTCCTCTTGTTTAGAATGTCCTCATCTCTCCTTTCTACCTCTTCAAATCTTAAACTTCCTTTAAGGACCTGCTCAAGGCTCACTTTTTTTCTTTTTCTTTTTTTTAAAATTAATTAGTCTATTTTTAGTTTTCAACATTCACTTCCACAAGATTTTCAGTTCCAAATTTTCTCCCCATCTCATCCTTCCCCCCACTCCAAGATGGCATGCATCCTGAATACCCTATCTTCCCTCCCTTCTATCTCTCCCTCCTTCTCTTATCCCCTTCCCCTTCAATTTTCCTGTAGGGTAGGATAGATTTCTATACCCCATTTCCTGTATATCTTATTTCCCAATTGCATGTGAAAACAATTTTTTTAAACTTTTGTTTTTAAAACTTTGGGTTCCAAATTTTCTCCCTCCCTCCCTCCCCACCTACTCTCATTGAGAAGGCAAGCAATACAATACAGGTTATACATGTGTAGTCATGCAAAACACTTCCATAGTAGTCATGTGAAAAACTAAGTATATTTCCCTTAATCCTATCCCGCCCTCCATTTGTTCTATTCTCTCTTTTGACCCTGTCCCTCCTTAGAAGTGTTTGCTTCTGATCACCCTGTCCCCAATCTGCCCTCCCCTCTATCATCCTCCTGCTCTCTTGTCCCGCCCCCATTTTCCTGTAGGGTAAGATAGATTTTCATACCTAATTGATTGTGTATGTTATTCTCTTCTTAAGCCAAATCCAATGAGAATAAGATTCACTCATTCTTTCTCACTTTCCACTGTTTCCTCTCCACTGTAAAAGCCTTTTTCTTGTCTGTTTTGTGTGAGATCATTTACCCCATTTTACCTCTCCCTTTCTCCTTCTCTCTGTATAATCCCCTCTCACCCCTTAATTTTATTCTCTAGATATCACTCCTTCATCTTCCACTCAACCTGTGCCCTCTATCTATCTATCTATCTACACACATATAATTTTTTCCCTCCAACTATTCTAATACTGACAAAGGCTCATGAGTTACAAATATCATCTTTCCATGCAGAATGTAAACAGTTTAACCTTAATAAGTCTCTTATGATTTCTCTTTCCTGTTTACCTCTTCATGTTTCTCTTGAGTCTTGTATCTGAAAGTCAAATTTTCTATTCAGCTCTGGTCTTTTCATCAAGAATGCTTGAAAGTTCTCTATTTCACTGAATGACCATTTCCCCCCCTTAGGGATTATGCTCAGTTTTGCTGTGTAGGTGATTCTTGGTTGTAGTCCTATCTCCTTTGCCCTCTGGAATATTATGTTCCAAGCCCTGCGGTCCCTTATTGTATAAGCTGCTAAATCTTGTGATATCCTGATTGTGTTTCCACAATACTTGAATTGTTTCTGGCAGCTTGCAATATTTTCTCCTTGATTTGGGAACTCTGGAATTTGGCTACAATATTCCTAGGATTTTTCCTTTGGAGATCTCTTTCAGGTAGTGATCAGTGGATTCTTTCAATTTCTATTTTGCCCTCTGATTCTAAAATATCAGGGCAGTTTTTCATGATAATTTCTTGAAAGATAATGTGTAGGCTCTTTTTTTGATCATGGCTTTTAGATAGTCCAATAATTTTTAAATTCTCTCTCCTCGACCTATTTTCCAGGTCAGTTGTTTTTCCAATGAGATATTTCACATTGTTTTCTATTTTTTCATTCTTTTGAATTTGTTTTACAGTGTCTTGATTTCTCATTAAGTCACTAGCTTCCAATTGCTCTATTCTAATTTTTAAGGAAGTATTTTCTTCAGTAATCTTTTGGACTTCCTTTTCCATTTGGCCAATTTTGCTTTTGAAGGCATTCTTCTCCTCATTGGCTTTTTGGCCCTCTTTGGCCTTTTGGGTTAGGCTATTTTTTAAGGTGTTATTTTCTTCAGTATTTATTTTTGGGTCTCCTTTAGCAAGCTGTTGACTTGTTTTTCATGATTTTCTTGCAAAGCTCTCAGTTTTTCCCCTGCTTCTCTTACTTGCTTCTCAAAATCCTTTTTGAGCTCTTCCATGGCCTGGGACCAATTCATATTTTTCTTGGAGGCTTTGGATGTAGGAGCTTTGACTTTGTTGTCTTCTTCTAGTTGTATGTTTTGATCTTCTTTGTCCCCAAAGTAAGATTCTATGGTCTGACTCTTTTTGTGCTGCTTGCTCATGATCCCAGCCAATTACTTGAGTTATAAACTCTTTGTTAAGGTAGGGGTCTGCTTCCAGTGTGGAAAAGTACTATCCCAAGCTTCAGGTGTTTTGTGCAGCTGTTTTCAGAGATATTTCTAGGGACCTGTAAATTTTCAGTTCTTCCAAGGTGGTATGATCAAGGTTAAGGTGTTTACCCCTTTCCTGGCCTGTGCTCTGGTCTATGAGCACTCTTTTCTGTCTTGGAACTGTGAGGAGGGTTTCCTTTCCACAGTCACTACAAGCTCCAACACGCCAGCACTCCTCCTCGCCCCAGGACCGTCACCCAGAACTGTGACCCAGATCCAAGCATGGGCAAAGCAAGAGAATCCTGCACCAGCAAAGAGATCCCTGCAACCCCCCTCTGATCAGCCACTGGATTCCCCCTAAGTCTGTGGGTCAGAAGCTCTGGAGGCAGCCGCTGCCCCAGGACTGCACTTGGGACTGGGGCTGCGACCGTGCTTCTCTCTCACTGGAGATACAGACTTTCCTATTAACCTTTAAGTTGTCTTTGGTGTTCATGGGTTGAGAAGTCTAGAAACTGCCACAGCTGACTGTGATTCAGGCCTCTGAGGCCTGCTCCAGGTTCTCTGAGGCCTGTGCACCCATCCCAAACTGCGCTCCTCTCCCAGCCCAGCATGATATACGTTTCTAATCAACCATCCAGGTTGTCTTTGGCTGGAAATTTGTTTCGCTCTTTTTGTGGGTTCTGATCCTTTAGAATTTGTTTAGAGCCATTTTTTATAGGTATTTGGAGGGGTTTGGGGGAGTGCTCAAGCAAGTCACTGCTTTTACTCTGTCATCTTGACTCTGCCCCTTGCTCTTTTTTTTTTTTCATTAAATACCCTCACTACAACCTTCTAGGGACATTTTTCATTTTTTCTGTCAAATGAACTCCCACTGACATGCATATCACATCCCAAAGATCTTCTTCATGGAACAACATTATCTATTACCTGGGGAACTCTTTTCTTACTTCATCATTTTTATCCTCACAGGTACATCGGATTCTCATGCTCTGCACCTCTGGCCTCACTACTGTTGGTTTTGTACTTCCTTTCATATATAGAAAAGGCTGGAGTCAGGTAAGTCAAGTCAATGTGTAGCATTTAAACACTTATTTTATGTGCCAGGCACTGTGCTTTGTGCTAGGAATATAAATACAAGTAGGAAGACAACTCCTGTCCACATGGAGCTTCTATTCGAATAGGGAAGAAAATGCATAAAAGGAGGCTAAAAAGGTGGGGGAAAGGGAGAAGGTATCCACACAACAGAAATAAATGTCCTTATAATGTAGGACACAAACTCTGACATTTGCTATCTGTATAACTTATGGCAAATCACTTAACTTTTCTGACTCTCAGCTTCCTTTTCTGCAAAACGAGGATATTAATAATTGTATTACCTAAAACTCTCTGGGTTTGTGTAAGAAAAAGAATCTGAAAACTTTAAAGTGCTATGCTAATGTAAGTTGTTATTATGATGAGGATGAATATTTTTACTTGAAGAATTTGAGAATCTATATTTTTATTAATGAGGATGGTGGTCAGAGTGTCGGCAGCATGATAAGGAGACAGTCTAGACCAGTGCTCATATCACCGAGATCACAACTCCATCAAAGTATCAAAAAGGTTTATGTAGAAGAAGACAAAAGGTTTGAAAAGTTGTAGTGTACAGAATCCAAGCAACTGTGAGGCAAGTAGGTAGATGTCATCTCAAGTGATGGAGTTCTGAGATATGATACTCCCAATTCCTCTGCTTTTCAAAGAGGCATGTGGATCAGGAAGGCAAACTATTTCCTCCCTAGTCAGGCTCCAAGAGTTTGCTTAACTAAAAGGATGTCCTATTAGTAATAGGTCTTACTTAGGGCAATGAGTTCTTTCATTATATTCCTGTTCTAAACAATAAAAGCCAAGGGTTGGGTTACTTTACTTGACTGTTACCTCTCCCAGGCATTTGTTGTTTTTACTGTGGCGATTCATTATATAGAAGAATCTTGTGATTACCCTGGCTTTAAGGACAAAGACAATGAATAGTTTATAAGCCTGTTATACTAAACAAGATGCAATGTCAGTCATAGTGTGCAGTTATGAATTCATATGAAATGTGGCATGGAAGTTTTATAATACAAAAGCCTCCTTTTAGCCTGTCTCAGGCATTCCGTCATCTGGAGCAGGGTGATTTGGGAACTAAATTTAGAGGACATTGACACTAGTTACAGTCATTCAGCAGTACAGACATAAGTAGCTACAGCAGCCATTAGTAGCTAGTTAGCAAGTATAGGTAGAATAATTAGTGTTTTAGTTTGCTCCTCCTGAACCCAGCCACTAGTCTCTGGCACAAAAACTTGTGTTGTCTTCTCTCAGGCCATTGGCTTGAACACCCATTGTTTCCTTCCTCCTGCCTCCTGTTAGGTATCTGGAATAAACTTTCTTGTTTCATTTAATTGCTTCACTTCACAATTCACTTTTGCAAAGGGACATTAACTTTGAAGATAGGACAACCACAAACATTTTCTCTAAAACCTCAAGGGCCTACTCTTAATTCAATAACTATAGAACATTGATCCCACCAAATTCACATCCTGATGAAATTTAAGTATAAGATGAGCCTTTGTCTGACCTTTTGGGGGTCTGGTCAAGACGTAATTCCTGAAGGTCACTCCTCCCTCCTTGGGTAACTGATGCTATGCTGGCTGCAAACCCAGACTCTGAAGCATCCTCCTGACCTTTCAAAACTCACAGGATTAGAGGCTCCAACCCAGGAGTGTGCTGGTAAATGTTTAACGACCAGACTCTCTAAAAAAAGTATGCATACAGAATTTTAAGCTTAATCTGTATTATTAAAACTTTCTTAAGTCTAGGCAATCAACAAGCAATAAATCAAGATCACGCTGAAAATTTAATAATTCTGGTCAGAGCTGGCCTCAGCATACCCTTCTCTACCTCTTCATCTAATACAGAAGGTCAGGGACCAAAGCCCTTTCACGGGGCCACATGGCCTCCAAAAGGAGAAGGCCTTAAGACCTCTCCCTTTATAGCAATGCCTCTCACCAAATTTTGTGAGGGAAGGAATTATCTAGATATCCAGAGAGCACTGTGAAAAAGAGCCTGAGGTGAAGAGACCTCTTATTCCAGCTATGTAATCAATCAAAAAAGGCTCCTCCTAATCACATGATTAGTAGATCAGAACAAATTAAAGAATGTCTATCCAGTTTCTCCAAGGCACTCTCCTTCCGGGTCATGGCAGCTTTACTGGAAGCAGGCTCCTCAACCTCTGAACATGGGCAATTTGCATCAGCACAGCAAGTCTGTGCGTTTACCAGACCTCCATTACTATCTTAAAATAGGAAGCTACCATATGGATGAACTTGTTCTTTCCTCTCATGCAGTAGCCTCCTCAGCAGTGGCTTTGTGCTGCTCTTCTGGGGTCTCTGTCAATCACCTTTCCTGCTCCTGCAGTGGTATCTGTCGATCCCTTAACTAACTGGTTTTTTATTCAGCTTTCCCAAAAATGTGGTTTGAGCTCTTTGTGCCAGGCACAAAAATTCCTAGTTACAGCTCTGCATACTATAGTCTGGTTGATCAATGGTGGAGTCGAAAGAATGCTGACCATGGAGTCAGAGGACCTGGGTACAAGCCCAAGGTCATATAGATACAAATTAGGAGAGAGGAGACTTCTGGTTCTTTTCATCATGACCTGCTATCTCCCACTTCAACAAGTTGACTTTAGAGGAATCAGTGAGAACAAACTGCATAAAATAATAACTAACCCCTCAAGTGTTGGTTCCCCATCTCGATGTGTCCATGTCTGGAACATAGTTAGTACTTAAAAATGCTATTCATTCACTCATTCTTAGGTCAGAGATGCTCTGTTAAGCCTTAGCTTAAGGTTTCAAGTGAAGTCATGTGGCAAACTGTTATAATCTATCTGTCTGAGGTTTTGAGCAAACAGACCCCAAATCAATCAAACATAGATGTAACTATATAGCGTTACAGCTGTTGGGACAAGATCACTTGTCCTTGAAAAGTGAGATCAGATTCTGGACCAGAGGTTAATACTAAGAAAGGGGTTGTAGAGGTGAATACCAGTACATAGACAAGCAAGAAAGAATAGCTTGGTGCCAATGTGCTCTTTGGGAATTTATTATATAGAAATTTTTGGGTGAATTTACAGAAGGCAAATTGAAACATTAGGGGAGGATATTTTTATGTTAAAATGCATGCAGATACCCTCAGAGTGACTGATGAATTTTTTCTCTTTGGATTTTAATTGGGGACATAGTGATACTGTACTCATGATGGCTTTTTATTTAGGAAGCAGGTTATCATTCATACCTTGGCTGTGTAGTGTTGACATTAGCAGTTCTTCAGCTGCTTCTAGCAGTTTTCAGGCCCCCATCACATGATCCAAGGTATGCTGTTTCCATTTACTCTTTTCTGAGTGTAAAGGTCACTAGCTAGCAAAGTACTTTTAAAAATAATTCTTAAAAACATTAAACATTAATACAACCAAGGAAACTTGCATTGTAACTATTTACATGAAAATCAGTTAATTCTAATACAGGAAATATTATCACAATTATTCATCTACTCCTCAGTTCTCTTCTACTTTGTCTCTTACATGGCATCATTTATGGGCATTCCATTCTTTCCCTTTTCATTTTTTCTCACTTGGTGTTATTTCATAAAGATCTTTCTAGATTTCTTTGTATTTGAAGCAGCTAGGTGCCAGTGGATAGAGTGAGGTTCATTTCATAGAATTTGCTCCTAAGACTTAAACTCACTTGGACCCCAGTGACTATTAAGATTCAGTTTCCAGAACTAAAATAGATCTCATCAATCAACATTTGAAAAAATACCTGTTATGTGATAGGCACTGTGCCAGGTGCTGGGGACACAAAAAGAAACAAAAAATAGTCCCTGCCTCCGAGGAACTTATAATAAAATGGGGGAGATTATATACCTCAAACACTGTGTGGCTGTATGACCCTGCTATGGGACAAATTTTCTTCCTTTGTAAAATCATTAGTTTGTACTTGATAGCTTCTCACTTCTAAATCTATGATCCTATGATGCATTATAATATTCCATTACATTGATGCATTACATTACATTACATGATTTATTTAATCATTTCCTTAACATTGGACATTGAGGTTGCTTCCAGTTTTTTTTGTAATTACACATAATGCTGTAAAAATCTTTGATACCTTTTGCAATACTCTTAGGGTATATTCTCAGCAATGGAATTATTGAGTAAATAGCAAATTTCTTTTTTTTTTGAGGGGTGACCTTGCAGTTTATAAAATTCAGCAGCAAATTTGGTCTACCTCATAACTTTTTTTAAACTACAACCTTTAGATATTGAATAGGTTTAGATATTGAAAAGATTTTAGAGACTTTAGATATTAAATTCCTAGCTATATGGAAAGTTTGCAGTTTTTTTTCATGAATTTAATTGTAGTCACATAATTTTTAAGACCATAGGCTATTTTTTTCTTTTGTTAGACGGCAGATATTTAACTGGACTCATTGGGGGACTGGTACTGCTGTTAGGATACTAGCAGGTAAGTAATTATGATGCCTTTTGTCATCGTTAATTGCTGCTTGTTTCTATACCAAATTGCAAGTTGGCGTAAGTGATTTGAGGATGCATTAGTAATTGAAATAATTGACTGTTAAGGAGAAAGTAACACTGAAATCCAGAAAGAACTTAATGAAGATGGCTATTAGGTTCTCTCCACCCCTAGCCAAAAATGATTCTTTGTCCTTGTGAACTCCAATAGAACTTCCTTGTTTAATTCATTAATTTCTACATTCTACTTTATATTATATTAATTTATGAACATAGCAGCTTCTTCTCTGCTCAGTCATAAACTCCTTAGGGATAGGGACCATGTTTCACTCATCTTTGAATCTTCCACAGTGTCTGTTTTTTTTTTCATTTATTAAACGCCTACTACACATAGAGAGGCATGCTGAGTTGTTGGGGGAGAAGTTTGGCTAAGACATAGTCCTTGCTCTCGTGGAAGTGTCTGGTAAAGCCTATGGACCCCCCCCCCCCAGAAGGTTTTTAAATGCATTAAACAAAGCACATAGGATTAAAAAGGAAGCTAGTTGTAATAGTTATCAAAATATTTAAAAAAATCTTATAGACCTCTCCTGAAATCCATCAATGGACCTAATCTCTCCCTACTTTCCCCAGGTTTTTTTTCCAGCATATCTATAGATTTTAGGGAGGGCTTCTCAAAGGTCGGATGTATTAAAAATATTCCATTTTGAAGTTTTATGTTGTTAACTTTCAATAGAATAATTGCCACCATACTCTCTTTGTAGTTCTGAAGTTCTCAGTGGGTAGAGGAATTTGGCCAGCAGTGCTTTTTCTCATCCACTCAAAAGATGAGGAGCCTGGGAGAGGGGAGAAAGGAGTCATGATAGCTATCTTCAAGTATTTACAGAGTTGTCACATGTGAGAAGGATTACACTTCTATTTTTTGATTCTAGAGGGTGGGACTAAGATCTGGAAGTTGCAAAGAGGCAAATTTAGTCTAAACATGAGGAAAAACTTCCTAACAAATACAACTATCCAAAAGTCCAGTGTATTTCCTGGGGACCTTACTGGTTCCTCTTGGCAGGAAATCTTCAAGCAGGGGACTGATGACCATTTGTTAGACATGTTGCAGTAAGGATTCTTTTTCTGTTTTGTGTATGGGTTGGACTAATTATTTCTAATTCTGTGGTTCCCTGCCCTAAGCTCAGGAACTTTAAATAACTTTCTCAGTCCGACATCAGAAAAATCTAAAGATTCTGAGGAAATGAATAGCTCCCTCTCATGAAAAGGTGGGGAACCTGTATTTTAGGGGAAATTATAACAATCTCTCACAATTGTGTACAGATTGAACAGGCCCATGTCATAGGCATGGACACATTTATGGTCATGCGAGCTTGAATACTGATCTAATTTTCTGTTTACATATTCTTCATTGTGTCTGAGTCCCACCTCTGATATGTATTGGCTGTGAGACTTAGCAGGACATTTAATTTTCCAGTGTTTTAGGCAGTTTTCTAAGACCATAAGTTACAGAAAAGGTGCCAACTTGTATTGGTAAAGGCAATTTTCTATACCATTGAGATCATAGGACTAGTCCCCATCCCTATATACCCCATTAGTTTGTTTAATTTTGTGACAATTTTGATCTACTAAATAGTGAACAAAATAAATTAGGTAGATACTTTAGAAAACATCTTTTACTAACAACATTTTAATATTGTCAATATATTTTTTGTTTTCTCCTTAGTGACAGCAATATTCCTGGGTATGGACTTACCAGGACTCAATCTTCCCACTCCAGGGAAAACATATGCAATGATTGGATTTGTAGGTTGGCATGTTGGTACTGAGATTCTTCTTGAGATACATGCCTATCGGCTCACACGCAAAGGTAAAACAATAGTTCAGCCACCTGAAAATCTGTTGATTCTCCATAGTTTGTGTACACTTTTTTTTTTTGCAGGAAATTTTGGGATAGACATCCTTCTCCTAATGGTACAAACCTTAGTATTATTGAGTGGTTCCTCATTTTTTCAACGCTTTAAGAAAAGTCATACCTTTCTAACTAGTGATAGAATTTGTTAGAATAGATTTGAGAATATGATTAATTAAATTTGATTTGAGAATATGATTAATTAAATTTGATTTGAGAATATGAATTAATTAAATTATTTAAATTAGAATTAGTAAATAAAATACAATGGAAAGGCAACATTGTGTTGGGGACAGAGTGCTAAACTTGGAGTCAGGAAGACTTGGATTCAAATCCTGCCTCTGATACTGTGTGATTAAGAGGCAGTCACTTGGTTTCTTTGAGCCTTAGATAACTCTAAAAGACTATGTTATAGATGGGTTTTTGTCTCCTTTGGTGGAAGGAGCTTCTACACCAGAATACACTTCTGTGTGCTCTTACTGTGACTTAGCTCTGAGTGCAAAAAAGGGGAAATGTTAGGATTTTTTGAAATTAGAATGGGAGAATTAATACAATCCATTTGGTAGACAAAGAGTCTGGATGAACTTAGTGAAGTGCTTTTTAATCATCTGGCATGAGTTGTGGTCCCTTCCAAACCCTAAGATTCAACTATTCTATGAAGACCTTTTATCTTTGAGGTGCTGTGTCATATTGAGATGGAAAAGTATCCACAATAATTTCCCATGAAGCTTGAAGCTGTCTGCTGAATTTGCCACCCAGTAGTATTGAATTACCTCTTATAGAGTATAACAAGTAGGTCTGTTTGGTGGTAATTTAGAATGTTTGAAGGAAAATACTGTGAAATAAGCCTGGAAAGGTAGACTTGGGTCCAGTTATGAAGGAGAGATTTTATTTTTTCTTAGAGGTAATAGGAAGCTATTGGAGTTTTTTGAGCAGAGGAAAATTGGTAGGAACACTTATTTTCCTATTTTTATAAACATTTTATATTGGAATTAATTAAAAAACCATTTGATAGAATTTACTTACATATCTATATGGTCCTTGATTTTCTTCTATTTGAAGTTCATAATTTGTGGTTTGTTCAGTTTCTTTTTCTGAGCTTGAATTGTTTAAATTCTCGATTTCTTGTTCTGTTAGTTTGGATATTTTCTATTTCGGTTAACATCAATCTGTTTCATTTATCAGTTTTACTGGCATATAATTGGGCAAAAGTGTTTCTAATATTTTCCTTTATGGTCAGATGTATGCTCTAGGAATATCAAGTTTGCCCGTTTTATGGAGGATGGATTGAAGAGGGAAAGAGACCAGAGACAATAAAGTTAGCTTAGGCTGGGCCTTGGATCGTGGGTTTCTAGTTCATTGTCAGGCCTCTACTTCTGACCTTCCAAGGTTCCTGGGGCCTGCCAGAGCTTGTGCTTTGCTAGTATAAGAGCGTAATAGCAAAGCTTTTAAGAAGACAAACTCACCATGATGAAACATTGAAAGAGGATTTAATGGGAACTGTTTAAAATTCATCCATGTGATTTGGAATTAATGGGGTTTTGATAGGAACGTCAGAGAAATGAATAAAAAAGCATTTGTTAAGCATTTGCTAAGTGCCAGGCACTATGATAAGAGTTGGGGATACAAATGAAAGCAAGCAAAATAGTCCCTACCCTCAAGAAGTTTACATTCTACAGGGGGAAGGCAACACGTAAAGAGGAACTGAAAAAAAGGGTAGAGTGGAAGGTCACTACTTGCTTAGTAGTACAGTTTGAAGCTGGTGGGCAGGATAAGATGAAACTCTGTTTGCCTCAGTTTCCCCAACTGCAAAATGGGGTTAATAATGGCATCCTCCCAGGTTGTCATGAGGTTAAAATGAGATATTTTAAAAGTACTTTCCAAATATTAAAGACTATGTAAGTGCTAGCTATTGTTATTATCATTGATATTTGTTGCTGGAACCGAGGAGTAGAGTCCAAATTTATAATAAGCTGTTTCAGACATGTTGATTTTGAGATGCCTATGGGACGTCCAATTTGAGATGTCCAAAAGGTGATGGGAGACTAGAGCTCAGAGAGAGTAAAATATGGGAATTAAATGCATTAAGACTGTAACTGAATTCATGGGAGCTGATGAGTACATTAGATGAGAGAGGATAGAGGCAAAAGAGAAAAGAGCTCAGGACAGAGCCCAGGATTAGTTGGCATGACATGGATGAAGAATCAACAAAGATGACTGAGAAAGTGTTCAGACAGATAGGGAAAGAACAAAGAGAGAGCAGTGTAACAGAAACCTAGAGATTATCCAGGAGTAGAAGGTAATCAATAGTGCTAAGTCCTGTAGAAAGGTCACAAAGGATCAGGATTGCAAAAAAGACCATTAGATTTTGCAATCAAGAGATCACTGATAACTTTGAAGAGAGTTGTTTCAGTTAAATGATGAAATTGGGAGCTAGAATACAGAAAGATTAGAAGATGAGGAAATGGTGGCATATGTGTAGATGTGTCCATCCAGGAGTTTAGCCAAGAAAAGGAAGAGGGATATGGGATGGTACCAAATGGAAATGGTAGGATCAAGTGTTAGTTTTTAAGGATGAGAGAGACCTAGATATTTTTGCAGGTAGCAGCTGATGATGCTATATTTTGAGTTCCTGGGAGGTTCATTTCATAGCAGGCAAGAGTAGGAGGAGCTATGGCTTGGAGAGTCAGAGCCTGGTCAGGAGACAGGAGGGGGCAATGCCAGGTGTACCTCATGCTAGAGAAGTCTTGTCATAAGACAGGCAGCCTGGACAGTTGCTGGAGAAGGTTTTGGGACAGCAGGGTAATGGAAGTTAAGAGGCGGGATTAAATGAATGCTCCTCAATCAGAAGCTCAAGATCTCAAAGGTGGAAGGGTGAGGAAAAGTAGAAGAGGCAATGCTGTTAAATATCTTGATAAAATCTTATTGTTTTTGACAGTTGAAATATTGGAAGATGATAGAATTCAGATTCTTCAGTCATTTACAACAGCTGAGGCAGAGGTGAGTCTCTTTCATCTTCACATAATATCATCTTGGGAAGTGGTGGGAACTTTGCTGAAATATATCCATTTCTCTTTCAGGGCCAAGCATTTAAAAAGCTGGTGTTCGTTGTCTATCTTTGTGGAAATGTAGCTTTTCTCTTCATATTCCTATATGCAATTGGCCAGCAGTGACTTAACTTCCAACAGTGCATGAATGAAGGCAAACAGAACCTTGGACTTGAATGATGAGGAGATGATGAAACTCAAAGCCTGTACTAACTGCCTCTGATTGTTTCCTGAAATTTTTTAAAAGATGAGTGTCATGTTTATGAAGGGATTCTGAGCTAGGATCACTGAAAATAAACTTTCAGTAAGGGCTGTCTGGATAATAAATTTACATTAAGTCACTTATATGTATTCTCCAGCTTCAAGGAAGATTATACCTCGAGGACCTGGTCCTCAAATTTTCTCCTATGAGGTAAGTATAGTAAAAACAAAACAAAACAAAACAAATTGGCAAAGAACTTTTAATGCCCACTCTGTCCTAAACAAAACCAAAATCCAATTCACTTTTAATTTTTGGAGGAAGAGGATTTCTATTGAAGAAGATAAGTTCCTAATGGCAAATATGCTACAGTTAAAACAAGAAGAAATCCATCATTTTTCGTTAATTCATCCTAATGGTCTCCTTGGCTTCTCTTAAAATGGAAAGCTACATGATTGTTAGAAGAGTTTTGAGCATAACTCATGTTCTGTGCTGCTTATCTTTACTTCTGTGGTAAAATGGAATCAAGGCAAAGAAAAAAAACATCATGGCTTTCATTTAAAGCCCTATCTGGCAAGCATTCTGTGTGCCTTGTGCAGAAGAACTCCATGGCCCATCAAAGCTTTTCATCTGCTGGTCTAACAGAAGCCTTTAAAGAGCCTCAAGACCAAAACAGAAACACTGAATCATCTCTTTTCCATGCTCCTTGTTTTAACTATAACCTGTGACTCTTATTAAGGTTGATGAAGACAAAACTTACTCAGGCAAATTGAATCAAAAGAACACTTATGCAAATATATGTCTAGCACCCTCCATTTCTTTGCACTCTGAAATTTAAAAAAAAAAAGGTGCCAAAAACTGTATTGCCTTAGAAAATTTAGAAACCTGTGAATTGAAACAGAAAATGTCATTCTTCATGTTAATGCTTTTTGTTTGTTTTGTTTTTAATCAGTTGTCCGTTCCATTGGTGTGTGGGCAGGTTCCACGGTTGCCATTGTGACCTCTGGCCATTGGGTAGTGCTCTAAAACCAGAGTCCTAGATCTTTCTTGTTGCAGTGCTCAGTGATTCAGACTTGTACTTCTGTACCGACATGCTAGAAAGCATTTAGTTTGGCAGCTGTCTCTCCCTAAATTGATTTAAGATTTATTTCTTTATTGGGGGTGGTGGTACATAGAAAGTTAATAAGAAACATTAGCATTTACATTACATTGTATTTGTAGGGGTGAGAAGAGAAAGGGAGGGTGGCCATTTCCCCCCTTTTATAGATGTTTGCTTACAGACCCCACAGCGAACAAGTGAAACCTACCTGAGGAAAGAGGAACGAGATGTTATTAAATACTCTTTTACAAAATAGATTGAGGAGGTCTTTATTGGTTATTAGTATTTCAAATGATGTTTCTCTAAGTGTTTTGAGAATGTTAAATTTTTTGCTTGGGTCATAGACAATCTCTATTCAAGCTATGGAACAGCATAAGTGAAACCTACTATTTTTTCTTTTGCTAGATAAAATTGTCTACTTTTCCTTCTTTCTCTGTATAAGTATGCGTGAATCATGAAAAAACTAAGGGGTTGCTCTGTTCATCTTTTCTAAATGCAGAATTTTTATTTTGTTGCTCGTGTAGTCTGTGTTCCTTTCTGTCATCATTGTATTGTTACTGTTATTATTTTTAAAAGGTGGAGCATAGTCATATAAATGTATGATAAATTTTTTTCCTGTTGCTTGCTGGTAGTAAGGATTTGTAGATAAATAAATTTCCTGTTACATAGTTTATTCTAAATTAAAGGGGAAAGAGCGATTTGAAGGGGAAGATGAGCTTTGAACTACAGCATCTGTGAACTCTAGTCAATTTTCCTTCAACTAAGGAAAGTCACTTTAATCCTTTCTGGATTATTTATCTGTTGAAATACTTTTATGAAAAAAATTGTATCGATGGCAGTGCTACACCAACAATTGCACCGAAATGCGGATCGGTACCGTAGGAGATTTCTAATTTCATGCTAATAGAAAAAATTTTGCCCCCTAAAAGTAAGAGTTATCATTTTTCTTAATCAAAGCCAACCTCCTTGGACATCAGAAACCTGTTCTTTTGTCCACATTTGTTTTCAATGCTATAAAAATATATACAAGATATACATTTGTACATAAATGTAAAGTTGTAGATCCTGTTTTAATTTTTTTTTTCATTTCTTCTGTTAGATGTGATTTTGAAACTCCACAAATGCTTTGAAAGAGGGAATGGGTTTCTTGCCTTTTTTTTCCTTCTCCAAATATAAAACAAGAGAAATTAAAGTATGTTCCTCATGAATACTAATAACTCACATTATTAAATTGCTTTGCTTTACAATTTACAAAGAGTTTTCCTCACAACATGGTGTTAGCTAAATAATAGCTAGCATTATGTAGGGATTTAAGGTTTGTAAAATACTTTACATATGGTATCTCATATATTATCTTCACAACAACTCTGTGAGGTAGATGCTATTATTTCTTTCCATTTAAAGATGAGGAAACTGAGAATATGAAAGGTAAATTGATTTGCCCAAAGTTACAGCTATTATCTGAGGTAGGATTTGAATTCAGGTCTTCCTCACTCCAAGTCCAATGCTCTATCCACTTTGCCACCTAGGTGTGTAAATAATATCTTTATTACTAAGCTAGTCTTTACCAGTTCAGAACCAGAGAATCAGAGAAGTAAAATGACTTGCCAGATCTAAGTTTTTGTCTCCACATACAATGTTCTTTCTATTACAACATATTACTTTTGAAGACTTAAATACCTAATTCCAGGAGACTGTAGTGGACATAATACTTACATATGAAGGAAAGGACTCTGCTGTGGGTCTCTTCTCAACTTGATTTGGTTCCCAGAATAGGAGAGACCTGTTTACCTTCTAATTGAAAGAGGATGTTAAAAGGTTTTTCTTTTCCAGAATCCTAAAGCCACAAAGGGTCATAGAGGTAGTTGATTAAGACAAAACACCCATAATTAATTTTGTAATGTTTCAAAAATGCTGTGTGAAAAAATAAAAGGAAGTGAAGGATATATTAGGGGAAAATGGGGAAGTTGTTAATACACATAATTAGTTTGTGCAGGTAGAACTATAAACCAATATGGAAGGAGTGGGTTGGGGGTGGGGTTCATCTAAACTGGTCAAAAGAGGGCAAACAAACACACACACACACACAAAGACTTTGGTGTAGGAATACATTAAATTCAAAAGAAAAGAACAGGAAGAGGAGAAACAGGAGTATAAAAGAAAGAGTAGAGTCAGGGAGGAATTAGTCATAAGCAAAACAAATCTTAACCTTGAAGGGAGGATAGTGAAAAGAAGGTTAAAAGGAAAATACAGGAAGGGACGACAACTTGAAATAAACAGTGAGCAAATAGTATAGAGAAGAAAAAGAAAATATGATGGAGGGAAATAAACAATCATCATTATTGTGAATGTGAGTGGCATATACTTACCCATAAAACTAAAGAGGTAAGCAGAATTGTTTAGAAAGCAAAATCCACTGATCTGTTGTTTACAAGAAACACACTTGAAGCATAAAGACATTGAGCTAAAATAAGGGATATGAGCAAAATTTGTTATTCCTCTGCTGAACTCAGAAAAGCAGGGGAGTTCAGACAAGGAAACAAAAATAGACTTAATTAAAAGAGACAAATTGGAAAATGACTGCTGAATGGTAATATAGATAATTTCAACACAACATATATGTATTGAATGGTATAGCTTCTAAATGTTAAAAGGAAAAATTAATTACAAGGATTACAAGGAGAAATAGATAGTAAAACCATAAAAGTGGGAAATCTCAATTTATTCCATCAGCCCCAAATAAACTTAGCCAAAAATAATAAGAAAAAATGAAAGACCTAATAGAATTTTAGAAAAAAAAAGATATGGTAGACCTCTGGGAATTATTGCATAGACATAGAAATGAGTATACATATTTCTCAGCTGTGAATGGCACATTTACAAAAATTGATCATGTTTTAAGACATAAAAACCTCAACCAAATGCAGAAAATCAGAAAATATGATACACATCTTACACTAATGAGAATGCAATAAAATTATATTAAATAAAGGAACAGTGGAAAAGGGTATTAAAAGTTAATTGGAAATGAAATAATTTAATCCTAAAGGTCTGGTGAGTCATATAACAAATAATAGAAAAAATAGATAATTTCATTAAAGATATTGACAACAGTGAGAAAACATCAAACTTTTGGAAATGCAACCAAAGAAATTCTTGGACAAAAATTTGTATCTCTAAATACTTTTATTAACAGGAAAAGGAGAGGGAACAGATCAACAAATTAGGAATGTAACTAAAAATATTAAAAAACCCAACAAATAGAAAAAAACCAAATAAAGTATCAAAATAGAAATCTCAAAAATAAAAAAGAGACTAACAAAATTAAGACAAAAATTCTATTAAATAAAACTATGAACTGGGTTTTTTTTGGTGGGAAGTTACCCAATTTGCTTAAAAATAAGAGATAAGCCAAATTACCAGTATAAAAAGTAAAAAAAAAGGAGAACTCATAACAAATGAAGAAGAAATAAAGTATATTAAAAATTATTTTCCCTATGTCAATAAAATCAATTTAAATGAAATAAATGAATACCTCAAAAATATAAAATATTCAAAACAACAGAACAAAAAATAGTAAATTTAAACAACCCAATTTCTTGAGGAAGAAATTGAATAATCTATATAGGAACTTTCAAAGAAAACTCCAGGACCAGGTGGTTTAATGAGTGAATTCTATCAAACATTCAAAGAACAATTAATTCATATATTATATAAACTATTTGCAAAAGTAACAAAAGAAAGGATCCTATCAAATCCCTTCTATGACACAGATATGGTCTTGATACATAAACTGGGGAGAGTCAAAACAGAAAACTATAGTCAATATCCCTAATGAACATGGATGTAAAAATTTTAAGTAAAACATTAGCAAAGAGGCTATGAACTATATAACCAGGTTGGGTTTATATCAGGAATGAGGGTTGGGTTAATAATGGAAAAACCTTAAACTTTATTGACAATATTAATAACAAAATAAGCAAAAATCATATGCCTGTATCCATAATGAAGAAAAAGCTTTTGACAGAGTAAAACATTCATTTCTGTTAAAACATTAGAAAAATATGAATAAATAAGCTTTTATTTAAAATAATGAATTGTATCTAAAACCAAGAGCTTTCATTAGAATCAAGATAAACTAGAAATCTTTCCAATAAAACGAAGAATGAAATAAATATGTCCATTGCCAATAACACAAGAAAAGTTAATTTGAGACATTACCATAGGTAAACAAGAAACGAAATTATCGCTTCACAGATGATATAATTGTGTACTTAAAGAAATCTAAAGCATCAACTAAAATTAAATTGAAATAACTAATAATTGTAGCAAACTTGCAGGGCATAAAATATATCCACACAAATCATCAGCATTTCTATATAATACCAATAAAAGTCAGTAGAAAGACACAGAAAGAGATTCCATTTAAAATGACTGTAGACAGTATAAAATATATGGGAGTCTACTTTTAAGATATACAAATACACTTCCAAACCACTGTTTACATAAAGACAAAACTATTAATTAGAAAAATAGTAATTATTAATGGGTAGAATATGAGTCAATATAAGAAAAATGACAGTATTACCTAAATTAATATACTTAATTTAATGCTATACCAATCAAATGATCAAGAATTACTTTGTAGAACTAGAAAAAAAATGGCATTCATATGAAAGCAAAAAAGGTCAAGAATCTCCAGGGAATTAAAAAAAAGAAGTAGGAATGAAAGGAGTCTATCAGTACCAGATTTCAGACTATACTACAAAACAGTAATTCTCAAAACAATTTGGTACTAGTTAAAAAATAGAGATCAATCAATGGAACAGATTAGCCATACAATATACTGAACCAAATATATCTAATAACCTAGTATTTGGCAAATACAAAAGGCCAAGTTATTGGGAAAAGGGCTTATTATTTGATAAAAACTACTGAGAAAATTGGATAACATTATGGAAGAAATTATATTTAGACTAACACCCCATACCTTATAGTAAGATAAGCTCTAAATGGGTATGGGACCTAGATACAAAAGGTCACATCATAAGTAAATTAGAGAAACATGGAAAAATTACCTATTAAATCTATAAATAGAAAAGTTCATTACCAAACTAGGGATAGATGATCATAGAAGGTCAAATCAATAATTTTTATTACATAAACTTAAAAAGGTTATACACAAACAAATTCAATAAAACTAAATTTAAAAGGGAAACAGCAAACTGAGGAAAATCTTTGCAGCAAGTTTCTCTGATAAAGGTCTCATTTCCGATATTTAAAATGAACTAATTCAAATTTATAAGAAGACCTATTCTCCAGTTGATAAATGGTCTCAAGATTTCAAAAGGCAATTCTCAAGGGAAAAATCTCAGGACATCGATAGCTAAATGAAAAAAAAATGCTCCAAATTGCTACTAATTTGTGAAGTGGAAATTAAAAGAATTCTGAGATTCCACTTTTCCCTCCTCAAATCTTTGTAATCCAGGTTCCATTATCACCAGACTAATGAAACTACCTTTGAAGGATAAAAATGATTTTATGGCTATGTCCAATGACCATTTTTCAGTCCTCATTCTCTTCTACCTCTGCAGAATTTGACACTTTTGGCTTTCATCCCTTTGCTTCTGTGACATTTCATTGTATGGCACTCCAGTATTTTTTATTTTACTTCTCAGCCTCTTTGGATATTCCCTTTCTCCAATTCCTCAAATATTAATGTCTCCCAAGGATCTATCCTTGATCTCCTTTTCTTCTATCTTTACTATTTCCCTCTCTCTTAGGGAGCACCTTTCCTCCCTTTGCTTTAAAGATCATTAGTATGTAAATGGTTTCCAAATCTGAATTTCCACTTTCCAACATCTCCCCAGAGTTTCAGACCTATATTTCCAATCAGCTGCTGAATTTTTCCAATTAGATGATGCAACAGCACCATTAAAATCTACATCTCCCAAATGGAATTCACCTTGCCCCAATTTCCTAGACCCTGTTCCACCATTTCTTAACTTGAATTGAGAGTGGCACTGTTGTTTTAGTCAAACTTGGTTGAAAACTCAGTCATTTTTGACTTTTCTTTGTTTTTGACTTTTCATATCCAATAAATTGTGAAATCTGGCCAATTCTTCTTCTGCAACATTTTAGATGTTTTTTTTCTTCCTTTCCACTTCATAGAATCATAGAATCTCCTCTGTAAAAGGAGAGGATTAGA